TATAGAAAACACGTAAAAGGGGAAACATTACATCTTTGGCAAAGAATCAGATGCTTTGGCTCCCCATGGTGTATAAAAAATAAGAGACATAGGTAGACAATGGAGTATAAAAAATAAGAGACATAGGTAGACAATGGAACAGTTACCATGGGAGAGTTTGTAAAGGAAAATATTTGAGAAGCATTTAACTCTGCTTGTAGTTATTAGGCTTTGAAGTAGCACAGGAGGTAGTTTCATTGTGTTAAGTTAGTCAGCGAGAAAAGGACATTGTGAGCAAAACATAGGGCAGTGAGCAGGATGAGTCTAACCAAATTTTCTGAACACCTCAATCAAGAATAGCATGTGACGTATAAGACAAGCAGTACAGAAAGAAAGAACCAGGAAGAGGACAGAAAGTGATAGAAAAAGGTACAGACCTTATAATGGTCTTTCATCAGGTTTTAGTGGAAACAATAAGGGTGACTTTGGAGTTAATCATAAGGCATTGTTTGTATGTAGGGGTCTGCAAAACTTTATGGTATAAATACAGCTGTTTGGAAGAACTCGGCAGAGATTGCTTCCACCAGAACATCTCTCGTGTCTGTTTCGTCTGTGTTCGCCGACTCCACACCTCCTTCAGGTATCCAGTTCAACCCTCCCTCCCGGAGCTGGACTCTGACACTTGGCTTACTCGCAGCTCCCTGTCAATTTACGACTGCAACCATTATTGAATTTTCTTCAGCAAAATTTTGCTTTCGTGTAAAAATAATGATTGTTAACAAATGTATACATTCGGTTCTTGGATCAGTCTTCTTTGGAATGGGCACAGTACAGATCTGTGATGGTTGGTTGGTTGTGTCGCTAACTTCCACATCTCTGGGCATAGACTTAAAGGGTGCTTCTAGATCATCAGTTATTTTTTCAAACATTTCAATGGTTGAATATAGATCAGGTAAATTCTAGTGAAAGTCCTTGCAATGGGAAACAATCATTTAGTTAAGAAGAGACTGTTGAATCAACTCCAATCAGAAGTCTTTGAAATGTAAAATGTTTACCTGGTTAAGGGGAAGTGACCAATTGCTCACACAAATTCACCTGTTGATTTAAGGAGCAGCTATGTTAGCAGGTTTAACAAACTAATAAATTCTTTTCCTAAGTTAGAGATTCTGATTCTTATCTGCTTGCTTTATTAGAACAGTAACACTTTGATGTGGTGGGTGGGGGATCTGAATGATTTTCAAATCAAGTTTTGATTTAGACCTAAAACTACCCTATTAAAATACCCTTAAAAAACAAACAAAAAACTTCACTGCAATCCAGTCGATGTTGACTCTACCACGCAGTAGCTACTGGGTTTAAACTACTGACCTTGCAGATATACTCGCACCTTAATTTTTTTAAGGTTCACCAGCACAGTGTAGGCTCAGAGAGAACACTAAATATCCCAACAGGAAGTAAATTAAGAATTCAGTGGTGGACTAAGAGTGGGCAGTTTTATTATCTGATTAGCAACGTACTTGCCTTTTGAAACAAAACCCATTATAAACTTCCCTTTTGCTTGCCCGATTCTCACTTAACTCCCCTTTCTATCTCATTAAGTTTATTCTCACACACAAAAGCAGATCCTGCCACTGTGGGCGTGGAAGGGGAATTCCCAAGCCACAGCTCATAGGCAACTTGAAGTTAGTTTCTTAAAATTACCACCACCTAGACAGAACAATTTCCAGGCTTGGCCTAGTAGGCAAAGACTTTGATGGAGACAAAAGACAGTCACTTTGCCCATCTTGTTATGCAGAGCTCAGAATCTCTTCTAGAACTTGTGAGAGGTTTTATGAAGAAGAGATTGAGGTTAGTCTGTAAAGACGGATTTATAAAATGCTAATAAGAGCAGATCAACCTTGAGCCTCAACCACTTCCTAGTGGTCTCATGGCTCCTACATTACACCCTGAAGAGCTGCCTGCTTCTGGTGGTGTAGTTTATGAAGAGGGAAGTGGGGTTTGGCTGGCTGGCTGAGGCAGTAGAAAAGTGTCCACAACATTGTGCCTTCATTCAAGTACTGCCTCAATGCAAGAACACTTTGTTCTATTAAACTGCCATTCCATGATGCTCACCTTCCCAACATGTTTGCTGAGGACAAAGCAGGTGCATAAGCAAAGGTGGTGAAGAAAGCTGATGGTGCCCAGCTATCAAAAGATATAGTGTCTGGGGTCTTAAAGGCTTGAAGATAAACAAGCAGCCATCTAGCTGTGAAGCATCAAAGCCCACAAAGCATACCAGCCTGTGTGATCAAGAGGTGTTGAAGGTACCAGGGATCAGATATCAAAGAACAAAAAAATCATATTGTGAATGATGGGGATTGTGGTGTGGAGACCTAAAGCCCATATGTAGGCAACTGAACCCTTACAGAAGGGTCTCGGGAAGGAAACGATCCAGTCAGTGTGCAGTGTAGCAACAATGAAACAACTTTCCTCTTGTTCTTAAATACTCCCAAGCCCCCCTCCACTCTCATGATTACAAATCTGGCTAAACCAGAGGATGTACACTGGTACAGATAGGAAATGGAAACACAGGGGATCCAGGACAGATGAACCTCTCAGGACCGATGGTGAGAGTGGCAATACTGGGAGGGTGGAGGGAAGGTGGGGTAGAAAGGGGGAACTGATCACCAGGATCTACTTATAACTCCCTCCCTGGGGAATGGACAACAGAAAAGTAGGTGAAGGGAGATGTTGGACTGTGTAAGACATGACAAAATAATAATTTATAATGTATCAAGGGTTCGTGAGGGAGGAGAGTGGGGAGGGACGGAAAAAACGAGCTGATACCAAGGGCTCAAGTAGAAAGCAAATGTTTTGAGAATGATGATGGCAACAAATGTACAAATGTGCTTGACAGAATGGCTGGATGGATGGATCGTAGTAAGAGTTGTATGAGCTCCCAATAAAATGATTTTTTAAAAAGAAAAGCGTCCACAGGTAAGATAATGTCCACAGAGGAGATTCAAGTGCAAGATGCACTCCAGATGAAGCTACTTACTACCTACTGAGCCAGGTGTTCAGGGTAGGCCTGCGTCTCAGGCTGTGATACTTCAGAAGCATATTGCCAAGGCTGCCTTCAGAGTTGCCGTTGTGTAGGTGCAAACCTAGTAGTTGTGGGCTTAATTGGCCCACCAGGGGCTCCTAAGGAGCTTTACGTGTCCCCCCAATCCTGGCCCTCAACCTTACTGTAGGCTCTTGGCTCTTTGATGCCGGTGAACCTCAGCCATGTTCTAGGATGAAATCATCACCAAGTGAATCAGAGCTTTTACTTGGCATATGCAACAATGAGAATATCAGCTCCCTCTCCCTCCCCAACTAAATATAGTAACTGAAAAAATGCACCAGAATAATGTCTACCTGAGTCTCAAGAAACATTATAAAGTCAACGGTGTGTAAGATTACAAATCAATAAGTCTCACCTTCTCACATTAATTAAAAATGGTTACATGGTTGTGATTCTGCCATTTAAATGGTTTTTCCCCCTAAATGATTCTTGGTACAAATTTCAGTAACGACCATTCAAAAATCACTGTCATCATCGAGTGGATTCTGACTCAAAGCAATCCTATACTATGGCGAGTACTATAGTACTATAGAGAGTAGTATAGTATAGATATTATAGTACTAGAGAGATTACTATAATATGGAGAGTACTGCTCCAAAGGGCTCCCAAGTTTGTAAAATTGTACGAGAGCAGACACCCTCCACTTTCTCCGATGGGGGTTGGAGCCCCTGATCTTTCAATTATCAGCGCACCACTTAATGCGCTGCACTAGGGTCTTCCTTCATTGGTTCAGCAAATGGTATCATTTAGCCAACACTGAAGGAAGAAGAGAACAGGGGGGAACATGTGCTAATTGTCTACCCTAGTTCGTGTGGGAAACTTAATTTCCAAGTTTGTCTTAATGATTAGAGAGACCAGTCCCTGGCGAGTAACATGTTTGGGTTTTAAAAAGGTGTGTGTGTTGGGGGCGTGGATGTGTGGGCTGGGGGTGGCGAAAAGGAGGGAGACCTCGACAAGACTGATTGTCACAAAGGCTGAAACAATGAGCTCAAACATTTATTAAAATCATTATGAGGATGGCATGGCCCCTCGCAGAGTGTGTTCTGTTGTACGAGGGATCGCCTCGAGTCAGAGATGATGTGACCGCGCCTACTGTTAATGATGCGCTTTATCCCTCAGGGCTCAGGCCCCGTGTTGTAGCGGCTCGACAGAGCAGTCAGAAAACTCAAAGTCACTGCCTTTAAGTTGATTCTGACTCAGTGGGACTCCATAGGACAAAGTACAACTGTCCCTGTGAGTTGCCAAGGCTGTAAATCTTTACTGGAGCAGACAGCCTCATCTTTCTTCCACGGAACAGCTGGTGGCTTTGAACTGCTGACCTTGGGGTTAGCAGCCTAACTCGAAACCCACCATGCCACCCAAACCCACTGCCATGAGATTCTGACCCAAAGTGACCTTCAAGGGCAGAGTAGGACTGCCCCTTTGGGTTTCCAAGACTAAACCGAAAACGTCGTCGTTCTCCCACCCACAGGTAGGTGCAGGCACAGGATCATTATTCTCGTTTAATCCGCTCAGTCAGCTTCCTCCTTAGCAACGGGGGGCAGTTCTCAGGGTTCTTGAGCTAATCAATCAAGAGTTGGTTTCAGAACCCAATTTTGTCCAAAGGGGGTAAAATAACGAGCGCCCCGTCATTTCCGGCCCTTCCCGGAACCCGCCCGCCCCCGTCAGCCCCGCCTCCCCAGGGTTGGTCTCCTTGGAGGACCCCGCCCGCCCGGACCCCGCCCCTCGTCTCCCCGACCAACCACCTGCTGCCGCTGTCCCGAGGCTGCCCCTGCTCTCTCCTATTGGGCGCTCGCTACCGCCCACTTCTAAGACATCAACCAATGGGAACTGGACAGGACGGGTACTTGAAGCACCGTTTCCGGATCGTGTCGACGTTCCCTTCCGGGCTCGGGCAGTAGTATTGCCGCCAGGCAACTTGCGTGCTGCATAAGCCGCGCCGGGAGGGAGGCGGGCTGCGGCTTGCCGGCTCTGGGTTGGTGGTCTTCCAACCAGGATTGCGTGGAGCGGAGCCCCCGGCTCCCGAAGGCCCAGGACGGCATTGACAGGCCGACGGTATGAGTTGCAGGAAAGCCGACAGCCAGCTGGTCCCTGCTCAGCCAACAGGTGAAGCGGATGAGAACCAGGACCCCAGAAGGTAGGTGGACGCCCAGGGCCTAGCGTCAGTGTGTGTGTGTGT